TCATCATATGATAGATAAAGCAACCCCACCACCATTTTCAAGTATGGGGATGCTGATACATGAGATGCAGAGGCTGGCTGGAGCATGGTATTACCAGGCTCCATCAGACTTAATTAATTACAGCACGTTGGAGCAGCCTCTGGGCTCATGTATAGGCACACAGAAGTATTACATTTAATTTTAATGTGTAGACATGCCCAATGTGTAATAGCATTGCTGTACATTGACATCAGTGATGTTGGTGTCTGGTCTAAGGGGGCACAAGCAGCAAAAGCTTGAAAATTACTGGTCTAGGAGAAGTTTTAATAACTATATTCAATGGGTAAAATGATTACACAGCAATTACTTAAATAGGACTTTAAATCATATAATCATAGAAAAGCTGGGCTGGTTGGGAAGGCTGGACTTCAGAGGTCATCTAGTTCAACCCTGTTCTCAAGGCAGGATCATCCCTGTCTAATCTTTTTCAGACAAGTGTTCATCTAAACTGCTCTTATGTATGAATTTGTAATTTCACATAGCAGGACCTGGGTGAAGGAAGACAAAAAAGGAAGAAGAAAAGGAGGGAAAACATTTGAGAAGAAACCATTAACAGAAATAGAGAAAAAAGGGGGTTGAGTGCAGAGCAGAAAGTGAACAGATTATAATGAGCAGTGGCATAACTAGATAGGAGGGTGATAGGGGCAATGACCCCAGTTGCTGACTTGCAATGGGGTCGGGAATGGAAAAAGCGGCTGCTGCTGGCAGCTGGGCATTCATGATAGTGAACTGTAAATCTCCACTTCTGCTTTGCCCTGGATACCTGCTCACATTGCTATGTGGTGGATAATTACGTGTATTAATTTACAGTATGTTATGCACCTGTGCCCAATTAAATGCATGTGGGTATTTGACATTACCTGCAGGTATTAAGGAACTTAATTTTTTGCTGTGGGTGGGCTTCTGCATTGAGTTCCTGCATATGTGGGAGGGGATTAACTTGCTTTAGTAGGAAAAGGGAGCATTTTTTATTTAGAATACAATGCTTTATTGTGATTGCTATAGTGAGAGTGGATTATTATTATGTATTATAGTTTAAATAATATTTGTTTTTATCCCAATTTGTGTAGGTCTGAAGAAAACTTTGTGAGTGCATTTCATGGCATGGTGGTTGCACTCTACAGTTTTTAAAATAGATGTTAATTTGTCAATAGCAAGTTATTCTTGTATAGAATGGCTGACTCCAAGTGTATAAAATACTACCTTTGAAATACCTCAAAGTTTTTTTGAGATGCAGGGAATTACGTCTATCATTTCCAGTTCCTCTTAGGGGCTTTTTTTTATTTTCTTGCTCCTTGTTCACATCTGTCTGCTGTGGTCATATAGTTGTCTGCCTGATTCCCCTGCGTTTTCCCCTTTTCTACAGTGGAACTACCATACCAGAACTTCCCCCCTCAACTTGCCACTCCCAAATTCCTTTGAGGCGATATCACTATACAGACTGGGTATACACAAAATCAATATTAGGAGCCTAAATCAAAGCCTGATAAAGTCTATGGACGAGAGTTTTAGATCAAGCCTCACTTCAGTGTTTAGATGTGTGAGGAATCTCCTTATTGATGGATGGGAAGGATGACAATATCTCAGCACATCCCACCCCAACCCTGCTCCTGAATTTCTGCATTTTATATTAGACAGCCATTGGTTAAAAACCAGAACAGTCTTACCAACAGGGACAAGACCCTAGTGTCCCCACTCTAAGCAGAGTGTCTCATCATAAGACTTCAGAATCAGGTTCCCTCTTGCCTCTTTTCTGGCCTCACGGGGCTGTTTTCAGCAGTTGAATGTTTTCCCCATGTTCTTAAATAGTTTATAGGCTCCTTGGGGAAGTAGGAACTGTGGGCCTGAACGCCCTTGGCCTAAGAAGGGCCTAGATCAGATGTTTCATTCTTCCAAGGTGAATACTCTACCCATGAGGCCCTGAGAGGGAGACTGACCTGGACTATTTCTGGGGGGAGTAAATCACATTCTGCTTCCTTCCTGGTCATCTAAGTGTCCAAATTGTGAAGCATTTGGCATTTTTGGTACTTCTGCATCCAAGGGTATTCTGTAGCTGGATGTGTAGCCCCGCATGCCTGGATGTGTAGCTCTGCATGCCTGGATATGCCTTTCTATACATTTTGGACTGTAAAGTCAATAGAAAGCTGGGTGGATTGTCAGGCTCAATGGGTAGTAATCAATGGCTCAATGTCTAACTGGCAGCTAGTATCAAGTGGAGGGCCCCAGGGGTTGGTCCTGGGGCCAGTTTTGTTCAATAACTGCATTAACTATCTGGAAGATGGGCTGGAATGCACTCTCAGCAAGTTCACAGATGACACCAAGCTGCGGGGTGTAGTAGATACACTGGAGGGTGGGGCCAGGATTCAGAGTGAACTAGACAAATTGGAGGTTTGGGCTTAGAGGAGATTTGATAGCAGCCTTTAACTACGTGAAGGGTGGTTCCAAAGAGGATGGAGTTGCTAAACTGTTCTTAGTGGTGACAGATGACAGAACAAAGAGAAATGGTCTCAAGTTGCAGCAAGAGAGGTTTAAGTTGGATGTTAGGAAAAACGTACTCACTAGCACTGGAATCTAGAGAGTAGGCTTGTGTGAAGCAGTTAGCATTCACTTTGGATGCGGATTCGGCCAATTCATGGGACAGTGATTCAATTTGTTGATTCAAAACACTGTCCCAAATTGATTTGCTTGTATCTGATTCAGAGATTCGGTCACTGCTTAATCAGCTGAATCTCTGAATTGGACAAGCCCCATCCCCTGCCTGCTCTCTCAGCCCCATCAATGGCCCTGCCTGGTCCCAGCTCCCCACTTATTAAAAAAGAAAAAAGCCCCATACTCACCAGCTCTTGCCAGGTGGGGGGCTGATCCCCACTGCCCCCCACTGCCCTGTGCTGCATGGGGGGCTCTGCCACAAGCCCCCAAAAGCCCCGAGGCTGCTGCAGCAGCCAGTGAGTGGGGGCTTTTTTTTT